AGAAATTACATTGCCTGAGCACTTGCTCTGCTGCCGTGGATTACGACCTCACCGTCAGAAATAAATCAGTGAGGAGGCTGCACGCAGACCTCTGCTGCAAACAAGGGAATAGGCAGCTACATCAGAGGGGGCTAGGGTGCCAGGAAGCTGAAGCCCCATTGAAGTGTGGCAACTGTACATGACTGCCGAGCATGGCCTGGAAGAAGATCAGCAGCCAGAACTAAAAGAAAGGTGCCTGCTGGATCATCTCACTACAGTGTTTGGAGCTTGGCACTGACAGTAGGTCCGGACACACCATGTCACAAACACCAGATGGGATGGGAGTGCGTGCTTGCCACTCATAAGGCAGGCTACCTTCCTTGGCTGCGGTGTGACCCTCTCGTAAATTTTGGTCTAGCTTTTTTCAACTGAAAGCAAGTTAGTCGTGGTGTTACCATGCGAGAGCATTTCCAGCCCACCCAGCGGCCACCTTCAAGCTGCAATCCCAATTGCTGTCCCTATCCAGAGAACACGTCCCAAGTTAATTTCCCAACTTCACCTCTACCTCCATGTTTCCTTTCCAATTCATTCCCCATTTTTATATGTGTTTTAAAAATGTTTTCCCTATGAATTTGTTTTTGCATGAGTGCACATTTTAAATGTACATGCATCCCCTCCCCTGAATTCTGTCTGCTAATATTCCCCTTTTTAAAAAAGGTTTTAGTGTGATACAGAAATATGAGGAGATTCTGGACCTCACTGATATGTGCATCTCAGAAAGGCACAGAAATGCATTTCCTTTCTTCAGCTGCCAGCCAGCCTACAAGCAAGGGTGATTTTGCAAGTTTCATTGCTAAATGGAAAGGTCCACATTCCACAGGTTCGGCCTGGCCCTGCTCAAAGTTGTAACCATGAGCAGGGAGCATCTCCAGGCTTGACAGAAACCTATTTGCATTTGCTGACTGAAGCAGTGAAAGAAATGGTGTACCCCTCTCCTGTAGCGGCTACAGCCATGAATCTTTGTAAACAGACAAAACAATGTTGTGGAATGAACAGATGAGCCACAGTGTGCATTGTCTCAAAGTGAACATTGTCTCAATAGAACAGTGTGCATCGTCTCAAGGTGGAGTGCAGTACAGTTGCTAACCACAAAGAATAACTGAGGAACATACAATAAAACATTCGGATTTTGGATGGATATGCAGATAAATGAACATCTTGCGAGAACTCAGAAACAGTGTTCCCTCTAAGCTGAGTTAGTGTGAGCTAGCTCACAGTTTTTTAGCCTCTGGCTCACACATTTTTGTCTCCGCTCAGGAAGGAGGGCTCGGGGCAAACTAATTTATGCAGCAGCAGCCAAATCGCTCGCTCACAACTTTAATGCCAGTCGCTCACAAAGTAGAATTTTTGCTCACAAGACTCCACAGCTTAGAGGGAGCATTGCTCAGAAGTCACCTCAAGATTAAAAGATGGGGCATCAATATTCAGGGATTCATTAAGAATCAGTTCCTCAGTAGAACAAATCTCTTTGAAGGCAAAGCAGTCTTCTTTGGGGTGAGAGAAGCGTATTTCCTGCAGCATTCAACCTGCTGGCACGGACAGAAGGGAATGGAATGCAAGTTTGCAACAGGGAACAGGAATGTGTGCATTATAGGCTGCAAAGATGCAATTGCACAAAGACTGGTAAAAACCACACCAATTTCGCCAAAACTGCATGTCTCTACACCCTCAGAAATGAGACATTTTGGCCCGGATGAGCAGAGCTGACTGCCAGTGAGTTGCACAGATGTCTATGTTGCACAATCCCTTAGGTTACACCATTGAGGAATGTTACTTTCCAAGTGCGAGGAGCGGAGATTATTTTTTTTCTACTCACAAAAGAAAGGAAGCTGTCCTGGAGCTCCTCCTTTATCAAGCACATCAGTGACTTCTGCAGAAATAACGGAGAACAGCACGGACAGGGCGGCGTGTATTTTGTGTGCTCAGAGATCTGATTTCAAGGGACAGAAGGCTTCTGAGACTCCCATCTTTTTAGTAGCTCGCTAGCCCTCATGGATATGTTGGGGGTGGGGGGACACAGCGGACAGTATTTGCTCAGGGATTGCTGCAGTAGTCACGGACCAAGACCTTCCAATCTTGTCTTAAGGATTTTGGGTGAACGATATCATCCTGTTTTCAAACTTACTTTTGTGGTTAGAGCTACCAACCCATCACAACCTCCCTTGAGAGAACAAGACAAGACAAACGCAGGTCAGCTACCGGGTGCACGAAAGCATGGCTTATGGCATCAGCAGCAAGTCTCACAGAGTGGTCCAACCTCACCTTTGCACGCCGCAGCCTCCTGCCACCCTGGGTTCCGTTAGCGCTTTTGGAGCAGCTCTGGAGTTGAAGGCAGCCATCAACATGCCTCTGGTACTCCTTTATCGGCACCAGAGACTTGCAGATGTAACACTTCTCATATCTGCCAGGCCAGAAGAGAAAGGAGTGCATTAGGATTCACTCTGCTTTGAGTGCTTCTGCAAACCATTTCACGGATAAGGCATGTCAATGAAGCTGGATGTGCACAGCAGGATGACCAATAAAGCTGGCCTGTCGCCAATCAAAAGGACGGAGTGATTAGCAGTTTCCCCCCAACTGCCTCTCTGTGTCCTGCTGCTGTAGCTGTGGGATGGTAATGAAATCAGCTCCCCTAACTCTCTCAAACAATGCAGATTTCCCTTCAGATATAAAGCACCCTGTCAACACAGCTGAAATGAAGTGTTATGCTTTTGCAAGAGAGAGTTACATTTTGCCCAAAAAAGCAAAACGAAGCAATGTTAAATCAGAGACCCCTTTTTCTCTATCTGAATGAACTTGTCTAACTGGCCATTCAAGCCTGTCTGGGCACTGTCTCCCTTTTACAGCCTGAAGCCTTGAGAATGCACTATAGGATGCAGAAATGCCAACCTCTCTCCTCCGAGTGTCACTCCCACCAGCTCATCTGTGGGCAAGGGCTCCCCTCCAGCTACAAAACTAGTAGCTTTGCCCACAGCAGTAAAGGAACCTGGGTCCTGAGAATGATGCCGGACAATGGGAATGAGTGTAAAAATGGAATTGAATGCAGCTGCTCGGTCAGAGGTCCTGTGCTGAAAGAGTTTGGCAAGCCTCGCTATTCTGTGGCATCTACAATGGGTCTGAAGAGCCCCCTTCATGCTACATTCTGCAGTACTTTTCCATATTTTCTTTCCAGTCGTTGCTGATTACCAAGATAATGTGTCTAAACAGAAGCTGTCCTCTCTATAATTAGCCTAATTCCATTAGTGATGTTGCCATCCACTGTTTGTAACAGCAAAATTACTTCCATGGCTGGGATTTTTACTGTCAGATCCATTCTTATGATGCTGTGTGGGTGGGTGGTGCAGGAGGAGGAGGGGCAGCAGCAAGAGGGATTAAACAAAATCTTCTCCATCTGAACAAAGTCTAAATTTCACTAAGGATATCGCTACAGGTGCCACTCTTGCCAGCCATCTCCATCACAGCTTCTGTCTGGCATGCAAACACAGATATAGCATTCAGACCTGCCCACCCAATGTACCCTCTAAGCTGTGGAATCTTGTGAGCAAAAATTCTACTTTGTGAGCTACTGGCATTAAAGTTGCGAGCAAGCGATTTGGCTACTGCATAAATTGGTTTGCTCTGGGGCCATCCTTCCTGGGCAAAGAGAAAAATGTGTGAGCTGGAGGCTAAAAAACTGTGAGCTAGCTCACACTAACTCAGCTTAGAGGGAACACTGGCCCTACCTACTCTTGTGGCTTGTCTGCAGCCTAGGGTGAAAGACCATAGCTCTAGCTTGTGGTGGTTTAGGCTTGCCTTGATATTCACCTGCCCTGCCTTGTACCCAAGCTATACATGGTGCTGCAGTCAGCTGTCCCATGGCAAGAAAGTCTGCCCAGACTTTGCAGGCCCCATTTTCTTCCCCGAGCTTGCTATCAGGGCTTTTACTTGCCAGCTACTTTCACGGTAGCGATGTGAAATTGTACCTTTCTACCATACTGAAACACAGATTTCTGCAGCTGTACAAGCAACAAGCAATCCCTTCCAGTCCTGGAGAACCAGAGAGAAAGCAGGCATCCTTGTCACGTGATCCTTTTTTGTGAAAGAAGAAATAGACAAAGGCAGTAGGGAGAGAAACAAGGGAGGGGCACAAGGAAGAAGAAGAGAAGAAGAAGAAGAGATTGGATTTATACCCTGCCCTTCACTACCGAAAGGTGTGTCAGAGTGGCTTACAAACTCCTTTCCCTTCCCCTCCCCACAACAGACACCCTGTGAGGTGGGTGGGGCTGAGAGAGCTCTTGACAGAAACTGCTCTTTTTCAAGGACAGTTCTTATCAGAACAACGGCTTGCCCAAGGTCATCTGGCCACGTGCAAGTGGAGGAGTAGGGAATCAAACCCGGTCCCTCCCAGATTAGAGTCCGTGCACTTAACCTCTACACCAAACAGACACCAGCTGAGACCAAACAATAGCTAGCCATTAACAGTTGAGGGCCATCTAATTTTTCTGCTGTGACCAAGAAACCTGAACCCAGGGTGGGGCTGGCTGGGTTCCCAATGTCTCCCATTGAGCTCTGTGGGATAAAGCCAGAGGCACTGGTCTCAGTGATAAATGGAAGAGGGAAGACACTGGAGAGAGAGTGAAGAACCGGAACTTCTCTCCCACGTAGCTAACAGCATATAAAAAGCCTGTGGGGAAACCATGACAGATCAAAGGCTTCCAGAAACAAAACACAGAGTGGAGCAAAGCAAGCTAAAGGAGAATGAGAGGCAAAAATAAGCAGAGAAAGTCAGATGAGAACCAGATGGGTTTTTGCTTCACAGGAGGCCTCTCAGATTCCAGGGGGAAGCATGGTGGGGAGAGACAGGCACCAGTGCAGCCAGCTGAAAGAAGTCATGCGGACAAAGACGTCCACGAGCGGCCCAAAATGGAGCCTTCCCGCAAACTGAAGAGAAAAGGTGCTGTGAGTTGGCAGCAAACCTACTTACTTGCCAGCGCCTACAGATTGTGATGTCTCTTTGCCCCAGGCAGCTCTGCTCTTGGCTTCCCTCTGTCGCCGTGTCATCACTTCAAAACAAGAAGAGAGAGAACAGCTGCTTGCCAGGCACCACCTCTCTTCTTAAGAACCGGAGGAGGTTTTGTCAAGCGTCCCAACAAAATACACAGTGCAGAGTTTGGGAAAGCATTTCAAAGCCCTCCCGGCCAGTTCGTTTGAGGACATCACAGTGGGAAAGGTGAGAGGAGGACTAGGGTAGAATGGCACTGCCTTTCGTACTGCAGCGGAAGAGCTTCCACCCAGAAAGAGCATTTGCTAACTTTCTGTTGTTCTGACACAAACATAAAAACCCAACGACTCCTTTAGAGTTAGCTTGTGAGGGCTTACATGTACCCCCCCCCCCCCCCACTGGTCAATAACCTGTAACTTGATTGCCATGTTGACATGAACTCTGTGGGCAGCCTGGGGGCAAAGGGCTAAATATCTGTTTTGGAATTCAAAATAAACATTCCCTTTGCTTATTTGGCTCCCTCATAAAGTCAGAGCAACCTCAAAATGTAGGACCACTCTATGCAAGATTCAAGAGCCCTGTCTCCTCCGGAACTATGCTGTATCCCTAAAAGGTGGGACATCCTCTGGTTTAAGTCAAGGCTTGGTTAGGTGGAGCTCAATGAATAAAGATAAAAACTGTATACAGTACAAGGCATCGAATGGGCATCGAATGACAAGAGGTCAAAGGGGGGAAACTTGTACTGAGAAAGGACTGTGTTCAATTAGTGTACAATCGCCAAAATATCCTGTTTCTATTCTTGGATAAATTCTCAGCAGATTGGGCACACTTGCATGCATTTACTTAAAGGTACATAATCAATTTTGATTAAAACCCTTGATTTTGGCAGACTTTGGAACTTTTTGGCAAGGACCTAGACAGTGGAGGGAAGGGATGTGTTGGACAGCAGGGGGCTAAGAAGAAAAAGAGTGATGGAAAGAGGGAAAAGTTATTTCCTATTCAGGTTGTACAAATTGTTTGGCTTAATACAGATCTAGCCTCTGACTAGATGCTATGTCCAAGACTCCATTTAGTTTCCCACATCTTTAGCTGATGCTAACCACACTCTCTGAACTTTTTCTTTGCAGTCATGAGGACTAGAAGCACACTTTATCAAAAACAGCCAAATTTTACATTTCATTTTGATGTACATATGCACAACCCCAAGTATGGGTAATGGCTCTTCTTCTTTTTTCTGAACAGAAATGGCAACAACAATGGCATCAAACTCGGTGATATACATTTGTCAGCAAGCCCAGTCAGACGCCCCAGATTTTCTCGCCAGACATCTGCGAGAAGAATTTTTAAACATTTCCTTCATCTAGTTGAATTCCTCTCGTTGTATCCCTGTTGACAGGCCACCAGCTAAGCTACTTGGGGAACACATCCGATAACCTCAGCCATTTCCACCAGGGTGCTGGAGTTTCTAATGCAGAAACAGATGTTGCTTTAAGCACTCTTGGGCAATCTAGCAGAGGGGACAGTGTATTAGAACACTTTTACAGCCTGGTATCAGATCTTCCTGTGCTCTATACTCTCATTAGGAGAAAGGTCTGAATCAGTGTTATAGGCGCTATAAAACTGTTATTGTTTGCTCAACATCTGCTGTAAAGTGGGTGCCCACAGAGTTCAGAATAGAAAGATTCCTTATCATTGCCAGCACAGCCTGGGCCTTGGAGCATACATTTTGACTCCACGGTTTCTAGGTCCCTGTTCTCTTGGTGGTTACTATAATGGACCGTTCATCCGCTAGTTTTAATGGATGCACTTTCCAGCTTACATGCTGCAGTGACCAGAGTGCATTCTGTGTGCTCTCTGAGTTGAAGTTTACAGTTGCAGGAGGATTCTGGGATATCCATTAGAAATGGAGGGGGGGAGAGAACTGTGCCTTCACCCCACGCCCAAAGACACTGATCAGTCATCTCCTATAAGTCTGACTTGGATCCAAATCAATGACCCTGGGTGCAAGAGGTTTTCCTGCCCTGCTGTTAATCCTGGAGTCACTTGACACTCCCAGAGGGCTTTTTAACAAGCCTGTTTGCAGCAAAAGCAGAGCAGTTCTCAGGCCCAGTGTGCAGTTGTTAATATTCCTGTAACAGTCTCTCGTAGAGTGCCTTGTGCACAGCTCAGGTGTTAATCAGTGCTATTTTTTTCTAGGAGAAGAGAACACATCTGGCACAGCAAGTCTGCTAGAAACCTTTGGGACTGGCACTACAGAAATGCCAGGAAAGACCTCCAGCTGCGCTGCCAAGAGCAGCAAGAAGAACAGGGATGGCATCGCCAATAGGCTCACTCGATACAGACAAGTTGGCCCGCTCCCATTCCAAATGCAGACCCCAGTAGTGCCGCTGCATGATTGTGCCAGCAGAGCTCAATTCCAGCGGAGAAAGCACACGTAGAACAAGGTTCCTCTGGAGAAGTCAAGGGGTGGGTGGGGGGAATCTCCTTAGGAGAAGCTACTACAAGATAAATACCCCCTCAGAACAAGAGCAACTGTGCGTTGCAACAAGCACAGCATCTCCCCTCAGAACATCCTGCAAGGCTACAGTCAGACATGGCTCACAATGTGAACTGTAACCAAATTAAAACTTTATTGGCTTCGGATTTCCTTCTGTCAGGACAAAGGAAGCTGGCCTCCTCCTGGCTCCTCTGGACGTTATCGCACCCTATGCTGATGCACGTCACTTTGGCTAGAACTTTCCTTCCACATTGAGACAGTGTGAGAATGTGAGGCAGGATATTACAGGTAGGTTGCGCATGACTGCATGTGCAAGAGGAAAGGGGCTTTGACATGGAGCAAGCTCAAAGTCCTCTTGCCTTTGCTCCTGCACTGAAATTCATACCTGGTTCTGGACTGAAAGCTGATCAGTACCCTCTCCCTCCATGCTTCAGGTGGGCTTTTTTTTTTTTTTTAAAGGCCTCTCCCCTCCAAAGCACCTAGCAGAATGATCGATGCCAGTGTTTGTTTGAGGCTTTATTTTTAAGCTATTTCTCACTTAATTTTTTTATACTTTGAAATCTGCCCAATAAGTCAGCACCAACAGCAGTCCTGCTCTGAGTGGGCGTGGAGAGGGCAGCTTCAGTGAGAGACACAAAGCCCAGCCAATCAGAACGTACTAATCTGGCTTGCCAGGACAGGTTCCCTTTGAGCCCAATCTAGGCAAGATGAGTATTTGTATGTCAGAAACAGAGTGAATGTAGCCCGCGGGCGGGGGTGGGTGGGTCTCACCACTGAATCCCTGAAGCAGCCTTAGATTACTCTCCAGGAGAGAGCAGTAAGTGGCTCCCCTGAGGCCTGCACAGTCTTCCAGTTCCCCAGAGGATTCCAGCTCTCTCTCTTTACAGTTATGAAAGCAAGAAATTGCAAGTAGATAAATAGGCACCACTTCGGAGGGAAGGTAACAGCGTTCCGTGCGCCTTGGTGTTTAGTCATGCCGGCCACATGACCACGGAAACGTCTTCGGACAGCGCTGGCTCTTCGGCTTTGAAACGGAGATGAGCACCACAACCCTAGAGTCGGACGCGACTGGCTTTCGAGCAAGGGAACCTTTACCTTTTACTCTGTACATAATAGCTGTGCATCACTCACATCCAGGCCTTTGCAAATACCGGAGAAATTAGTATCCTTAAATGATATCAAGTGTCTTGCTATGCTGGCTGTCCTTTTTTTCCCCAACAGACATCCAATTGCCTCTGTGCAGAGCTGCTTCTTCCTGCATTAAGTGTCTATTCTCATTTAACAGGCATACTATTTCTGCGAGAGTTCCTATTAATGGAAAGAATTCCTTTTACATTGGCCCTTCTAAGAAGTGGTGAAGCTCTTCCCTGCCCCGGTTGTTACCTTTTTCTTTTTTAAAAAAAATGCTGCATCAGTGCCGCTTCTCTTGGTGTTGAAGCTCTTTTTAAAATAGCATCAGCACCAGCATGGTTGCAGCTTAGAGAAACTTAAGGCTGTTTCACCTTGCACTTGAGACATGGCTGTAGCAAGGAGGAGGACACCCTGCCTTGATCTATTCTGAGGCTGCATGTCTTCACCAGTGTTCCCTCTAAGCTGAGTTAGTGTGAGCTAGCTCACAGGATTTTAGCCTCCAGCGACACATTTTTGCCTTGGCTCAGAATGGATGGCTCCAGAGCAAACTAATTTATGCTGCAGCCAAATCGCTCACCCGCAACTTTAATGCCAGTAGCTCACAAAGTAGAATTTTTGCTCACAAGACTCCACAGCTTAGAGGGAGCATTGGTCTTCACCAATGTGGTCTGTGCAGTGCTGCTTCTTCCTGCGTTAAGTGTTTGGGGGAATGAAGTCAGAGGCTTGTCGAAACCAAGAGGGCTTGATCCCTGTCAGTCTTCGGCAACGTTCATGGCAAACATTCCTGGAAATGTCTGGAGACCGCCACATCTAAATGGTTTTAACTGTATTTATTTGGAATTTTACTGAATTGTATTTTATGTATACATTTATGCTGGTTTTAAAGTTGTGTGTAAGCCGCCCTGAGCCACTCCGGGGGGAGGGCGGGATAGAAATTTAATAAATAAATAAATAAAATAAGATGCAATAGTACAAAAGGAGGCAGTGTGCATACGTGCAGAAAGGGACACACCAGATAGACATGCCACAAAAGACACAGGTTAGTTTAGTGGAATTTCCGAATGGCTTAGGTGTGCAACTCCATGAGTTCTTGTAGCAGACAAGCAACTCAGCCACAGCAACGGGACGCACAAACAAGACATGCCACTGTGCCCAGTGGAACAGATGGCCTTAAGTATCATCCAAGATGAAATGGCTTTTTTAAGGCTACAAGCTCAAACAAGAGCTAGTGAATTTACAGTAGACAGTAAGAGAACAGTAGACTGACAAGTCAGAGAGGTTCCTTTATAACAGAAAACACTGAAAGATGTTAGAGTTTATAGTACCAGAGACCTCTAGAGTAAATCCAATTAAGCTGTCCTGAAAGTGGATCATTGACCTCTGAAGCCAACGGTGAGGAGGAACTACAGCAGGCTTCTCTGAGCAGATCAAGA